TCAGCTCGTATTAATCGACCGTGGCATCAGAATAAATGCCGAATATTATCGCGAAAATATTCTGGAGGGTGTATTAAAGCCTTGGGCATGGTTCCTCGCTTAATTTACAGCGCACAATGGCCACCAAAATCTCCAAATACTAATCCGTTGGATTATTGAGTCTGGAGTAATTTGGAAAACAAGGTTGGCACTAAAAATACCAAGGTGTCGATCACCTTAAGCAAGCGCTTAGCCGGAAATGGGCCAAAATACTGCAGAACAAAATTCGGGCAGCGTGTGACCGTTACATTGGCTGTTTTAAGGCCATAATGCGTGCCAAAGGTGACCAATTCGAACAAATCTGAACGTATTTTAAAATTTGATGCTAATTCCGACATTTTTGGCTTTCATTCAATAAAGTTAAAAAAAATGTAAAAATTATGGCGTTTGATTTTTATGCATTTTTTATCTTGCCCGGTATATGCGATATCTTGGATATTAGCTTCATGTAACGGTTAGAAGTGACCTTAACGTGTATTCGAGATTTCGTTGCAAAACTGTCTTGCCGTTTTCAGCGGATGTAGTTACGAAAGAACCAAATTTCATTTCTAAGTAATAAATAATATAAATAATTAAGCATATAAACACAATTTTGAATCATTTCAATTTATTTACTTCGCATTAATTCTATATCTATTTATATACCACACTAAATCAGCTCATTAATAATCATAAAGTTCGAGGAAATTATTTCGATTTATTTCCTAATTTTAAAACTAGTTGTTTTAAAAATAATTTCTCAGAAAAAAACAATTAACACATTCTTTGAAATTTAACATTAATTAAACCTTTACATATGCACATTATTGCTTGGGATAGAATACACTAGAGATATCATAGCGAATAGTTTTCCAATTCTTCGGTTTAAGTTCCATTAGCTTTGTGGTTAATTTTAAAATCGCCAAGAAACATTAAATCAATTCGATTCCAAGAAAATGCTAATCGATTTTTGAATTATAGGCCACAGCACGTGCCATATCAAATAGACAACAACAAAATGTTTGCGATATGTGTGGTATGAATTATTTTTGTACCTAAACAGTAACAAAATTAAGTAGAAGAATTTCAGGGAAATATAAGTTTGAGTTGAAGAAATGATAAAATGCCGTAATTTGTATGCTCTCCACCATTTTGTGGAGGGTATATTAACTTTGTCATTCCGTTTGTAACTTTTTGAAATACTCATGTTAGACCCAACAAAGTATATGTGTATATTCTTGATCAACATAAAATTTTAAGTCGATTTAGCGATATATGTTGGGAAATTCCATTAAATAATGTGTTCAAATGTATGGGCGCATTACAAAAGGTGGAGACGCTTCGACAATTATCTGCCAGAACAAATGGTACCTAATGAGAACCCCATATAACTACTTTGGGAATATTCCCCTTAATACATGATATCGAGAGGTACCGTTATATGGGGTACATGCCAGGCAAAATTACAAGAAAATCGAACATTTTATGCGAAATGATAAATTCCAACACCAAGGTTTCTGGTTTAGAGAAATATTTTGATATAGCGAGTTGTAAAGAATCACCAACTTGTTTCGCAAGTTATGACAGATGAAAGAATTGAAAAATGTAAGTGGTTGCGAAATCAGAAGGGGTTCGCAGATATATATCATATTCAAAATGTTGACCCTTTAGGAGGAGTTACTTGATGGAGTGGACTGATATTGACCATTTTCACACCTTACCTTGCACTGACACAAATATTAGGATTTGCAAAGTTGGAGCAAAACCGCATTATCCTTTCTCTTTATGTGCAGTAAAATATTTTTTTTTTTTTTGAAAATTTCGACCTTTGTGGGGAGGTATCAAAAGGAGTGGGCCGATATTGCCCGTCTACAAACTCGAGCTATGTTTGAAAGTTTGGACAAAATCGGATATTCCCTTCGAGAGTTATCGTGTGCAACCAGCCAGACAGACGCACCGACTGACACTCCTAGGTAGACTTCAAATGTCCTAAAATGGATTTGGTCCAATGATACCTAGGGTCTAATTCGGAATAATTTTGAGCGATTTTTTAGATATTGTCCTTTATGTTGGTAGGCATTCTGCCCAGTCCTAGACGTTAGTCCCATGCAAAAAACCCGCGTCGATTGGTCTATAATTGTGGCTTGTAGTCTTCTATTCTGACCCTATCCCATATTTCGTTAGTGCGCCAAAAGAGCGACCTGTAGCGTCATTACAAATTAACATGGACAGACGGACGGACGGACGGATGGATCGATTCATACAAAATGATCTTGTTTACTTGCTAAAGAGCTAAAGAGTGGTGTGGGCCGCCATAACAGCCGATGGTCGCTCTCCGCTAATATTAATCGACCCTGGCAACAGAATAAATGCCGAATATTAATGCGAACATATTCTGGAGGGTGTACTAAAGCCTTGGGCGCGCAAACATTTTGGCGCAGATCTTGGACATTTCAACAGGACTTAGCACCATCGCACTCAGCCCTCGCCACCAAAGAATGTTTACAAAATGAGGTTCCTCGCTTCATTTCCAGCACACAATGGCAACCAAAATCTCCGGATACCAATCCGTTGGACTATTGTGTCTGGAGTATTTCGGAAAGCAAGGTTGGCACTAAAAAATACCAAAGTGTCGATCACCTTAAGCAAGCGCTTCGCCTGGAATGGGCCAAAATACCGAACAGAACAACATTCGGGCAGCGTGTGACGGTTTCATTGGCCATAATTGGTGCCAAAGGTGACCAATTCGAACAAATCTAAACTTATTCTAAAATTTTATGCTAAATAAAATTAAACAAGTAAGTTCGGCCGGGCAGGTCTTTGAATACCCTCCATCATTTGGAACGATTTTGCCAATTGTCAAAAAAATAAAATCCGTTAAAAATTCTGTTAAAATTTTAAAAATACCGAATATAGCCGTTATGTTGGGGTCTATACGTAGTGGATCTACATAGGCATTGTTTGTCATTAGCCATTGCCATATTCGTAGCTAAAATTATCAAAATATCGTATATAGGGAGGTACCGTGATATCGGAGCTGTGCGAAGACCTGGACCAGAATAGACAATTTTCTGTCACAGGCTATAGCATCCATTACTAACGTCAAATACGATATCTCAAACAATTTCGGTGGGTATTGCACCTAAACTCGTCAAAATGCCGAATATAGGGAGGTATTGATATATGGGCCTATTCGAAGACCTGGGCCTGCATAGGCAATTTTCTGTCACAGACTGTAGTTCCCATTACGAACTCTAAATACGTAATTTGAAACAATTCCCGTGAATAATGACGCTAAAATCATCAAAATACTGAAATTTGGGAGCACACAGACAATTTTCTCACATAGGCTGTAGTATCCATTTCGAACTTCAAATACAAAGTTGAAACAATTCCGGTGAATAATGTCGCTAAAATCATCAAAATACCGAATATCGGGAGGTACCATTGTATGGGGGCTATATGAAAACGTGGACCTACATGGCCCATTTACGAACTTAACCTGCCTACTGGAAAAATAAACTTGAGTGCAAAATTTTAGCTTCTATCACAACTCATTTGAAAGATAGCGTGATTACAACAGACAGACAAACGGACATCGCTAAATCGACTTAGAATTTTACGCTGATCAAGAATATAGATACTTTGTTGGGTCTGACATGAGTATTTCGAGGAGTTACAAACGGAATGACAAATTTAATATACCCTCCATAGTATGGTGGAGGGTATAAAAATATCGAATGTAGCAGTTATATTAGGGCCTATACGACGGCGTGGACCTGCATAGGCAACTTTTGTCATAAACCATTTTTCAAATGAGAAACTTAAATAAAAAATTCGGTGAATTATGTAGCTAAAATCATCGAAATTCCGAATATAGGGAGGTACCATTATGTTGGGGCTATACGAAGACGTGAACCTTCACAGATAATTTTCTGTCTTAGGCTGTAATATTCATTACGAATTTCAAATACCAAATTCGAAACAATTCCGGTGAATAATATCGCTAAAATCATCAAAATACCGAATATCGGAAGTACCGTTATATGGGGGCTATATGAAAACGTGGACCTGCACAGACAATTTTCTGCCATTGGCTGTAGTATCCATTACGAACTTCAAATACCAAATTTGAAACAATTCCGGTGAATAATGTCGCTAAAATCATAAAAATACCGAATATCGGAAGTACCGTTATATGGGGTCTATACGAAGACCTGGATCTGCATAGACAATTTTCTGTCACAGACTGTAGTTCCCATTACGAACTCTAAATAGGTAGTTTGAAACTACTCCGGCGAATAATGACGCTACAATCATTAAAATACCGAACATCGGCAGGTACAGTTATATGGGGGATATGCAAAGACGTGGACCTGCACAGACAATTTTCTGTCTTAGGCTGTGAGCGAACTTCAAAAACCAAATTTGAAACAATTCCGGTGAATAATGTCGCTACAATCATCAAAATACCGAATATCGGGAGTTACCGTTATATGGGGGCCATATGAAAACATGGACCTACATGGCCCATTTATGAACTTAACCTGCTTACTGGCAAAAAAAAAAAACATGTGTGCAAAATTCATTGCATATTGCACAATATGAAACACAACCACCAAGATTAACTTAAATTATGATGTGGAGATGGAGTTGATTATAATCTCAAACTGGCCTACAATTCATACATGTGTTACATTGAGGGTCATGACCCTTAGAAAATGATATCTCATAAGAATAGGTATCAGTTCAGGGGCGCCTTTGAAATTTTCCAAATTATAATACGTTATCATTACTATTTGTTGAATTCTGTGTGAAAATTTACAATATGTGAATTACATTGTTCTAACTGTAGGCTAACATACGCGTATGTACTCTCCCTACTACATAGATATACTACATAGATGTAAACACTACTACATACATATAAACACATTGCGTAGTTTTTGTATTTTTCCATAAACGCATCGCCCCAACAATGATTCAAATTGCGAAAAAATTCCACCATTTATTTTGCAAACTTGTTCCTACAATCTTCATGTTGAAATACAAAACTACATACAAAATTTCCAAAACAAATAACAATTAAAATATACGGAAAAAAATATTTGTTTTAAATAAAAAAGCAAAGATAATAAAAAATAACAAAACGAAAAATTTACAACACATCTATGCCTTTTTTGTTGCATCCGGACATTTTCCGCATTGATCATTGGCCAACGAACGTGTTTTATCACCTTTCATGCCGAATGGAGCTTCACCGCGTACCTCCATAAAGTAGCTGCCCTTAATGTTGGTCGGTGCCGCATAACCCATTGGCACATCTTGCTTGGGACATTTGTGTTCACGCAAACGAGTCAACGATGTACAACGTGCACCCAAGAAGTTGTTTTCATTGCCCGGATAAATTGTTTCGGCGAAATACTCCCATGCCCTGGCATGGGCACAGGTAACACTGACACAACCCGGTGGCAGGGGATCCAAGCCACCTGGGTAGAAATCAACATCACCGGTGGGATTACGTTTGCCCAAGACACCGGAATTGCTGTGGATGACATCTATAAATTCGGCATCGCCTCTCATAAGTCCCGACAATGCTTCACCCTCATTAAAGCATGGTTTGGCCGGGTCCAGTCCGGTGACACGTGGTATCAATTTCCCAGTACTTTCAAAGAAATAACGAGCTGCAGCTCCCATGATGTGGGCACCCAAGCTATGACCAATCAAATGAATATTTTTGAGTGGAACAATTTTCTCCAATTGTTCCAAGCCCTTGGCAATATGCATTCCCAATTCCTCCGTATTAAATGCCGACCAGGTGTAAAGAGTGTCCACAAATGAACCAGCATCGATGGCCTGAAATTAAATATATTTTAAAAATTGTGGAAAATTTTAACCTCATCCGCACTTACCACAAAATTAACATCACCCCGACAGGCATAGGCCTTGGCGAATACATCAATGGTGTCGGTTTCATTCACAGTTGTAGTCCACCCTGTGGCCAATATGACCACTTTCTTTTTGGGATCGAATTCTGGACTCGCCCACATTTCATTTGCCTTTAGCAGTGGATGACTATAACGATTACATGCCGTTCTCAACTGGAAGAACATTTTATCAATGTTTGGAGATATTTTCGGAGTAATGGCATTGGATGAGAGAGCCGATGCACCTACAATTAAAACATATATTAATATCTGAACAAGTAAAAGCGTTCCATTTGGAACGATTTTGGATACTTTCATAAATAAAAAAAAATCCGATAAAAATTCTATTAAAATCTTACAAATACCGAATGAAGCCGTTACATTTGGGTCTATAGAATGACGTGGACCTGCATATGCAACTTTTATAATAAGACATTACAATATTCAATTGCGAAACTTGGAAAAAAATCGGTGAAACATTATATGGGAGCTATACCATCAAAATTCCGAATATAGGGAGGTACCGTTATATGAGGGCTATTCGAAGACGTGAACCTGCACAGACAATTTTCTGTCATAGGCTGTACGAAAAGTCCTGCAGATACTATATATATTTGAGTAAAATTTTATCAATCGACCTCATTTCCTTCGGAAGCTAGAGTGACAGATGGACGGACATTGCTAAATCGACATAGAATTTTATGCTGATGAAGAATATACAGGGTGTGGTAAAAAACTGCAACAAAGTCAAACGCCATAATTTTTATATTTTTATACCCTCCACCATACTATGGAGTTTATATTAACTTTGTCATTCCGTTTGTAACTCCTCGAAATATCCCAACAAAGTATATATATTCTTGATCAGCGTAAAATTCTAAGTCGATTTAGCGATGTCCATCTGTCTGTCTGTCCGTCTGTCTGTCTGTTATAATCAAGCTATGTATCGAATGAATTGAGATAGATGGCTAAAATTTTGCACACATGCTTATTTTTCTAGTAGGCAGGTTAACTTCGTAAATGGGCTATGTAGGTCCACGTTTTCATATAGCCCCCATATAACGGTACCTCCCTATATTCGGTATTTTGATGATTTTAGGGACATTATTCACCGGAATTGTTTAAAATTTGGTATTTGAAGTTCCAAATGGACACCACACTCTAAGATAGAAAATTGTCTGTGCAAGTCCATGTCTTCGTATAGCCCCCATATAACGGTACCTCACGATATTCGGTATTTTGATGATTTAAGCGACCTTTTTTCCGGAAGTAATTTAAAATTTGGTATTTGAAGTTCAAAATGGATACTACATCCTAAGACAGAAAATTGTCTGTTCAGGTCCAGGTCTTCGTATAGCCCCCATATAACGGTACCCCCCTATATTCGTTATTTTGATGATTTTAGCGACATTATTCAACGGAATTGTATCAAAATTGGTATTTGAAATTCGTAATGAATACTACAGCTTATGTCAGAAAATTGTCTGTGCAAGTCCATGTCTTCGTATAGCCCCCATATAACGGTACCTCCAGATATTCGGTATTTTGATGATTTTAGCGACATTATTCACGGGAATTGTTTCAAATTTGGTATTTGAAGTTCAAAATGGATACTACACCCTAAGACAGAAAATTGTCTGTGAGGGTCAACGTCTTCGTATAGCCCCCATATAACGGTACCTCCCTATATTCGGTATTTTGATGATTTTAGCGACATTATTCACCGGAATTGTTTCAAATTGGTATTTGAAGTTCGAAATGGATACTACAGCCTAGGACAGAAAATTTTCTGTGAAAGTCCACGTCTTTGTATAGCCCCATATGACGGTACCTCCCGACATTAGGTATTTTGATGATTTTAGCGTCATTATTAACCGGAGTAGTTTCATATTACGTATTTGAAGTTCGTAATGGGAACTACAATCTGTGACAGAAAATTGTCTGTGCGGGTCCACGTCTTCGTATAGGCCCCATATATCAGTACCTCCCTATGTTCGGTATTTTTACGATTTTAGGTACAATACCCACCGAAATTGTTTGAGATGTGGTATTTGAACTTCGTAATGGATGCTACAGCCTGTGACAGAAAATTGTCTATGCTGGTCCAGGTCTTCGCACAGCTCCAATTTAAAGGCACCTCCTTATATACGATATTTTGATGATTTTAGCTACATTATTCACCGTTTATTTCAAGTTTCGAATTTGAATATGGTAATGACTTATGACAAACAATGCCTATGTATGTCCACGTCGTATAGAAGCCAATATAAAGGCTATATTCGGTATTTTTAAAATTTTAACAGAATTTTTAAGGATTTTATTTATTGAAAATTTCCAAATTCGTTGCAAATGGCGGAGGGTATTAAAAGTTCGGCCTGGCCGAACTTACTGCTTTTTAACTTGTTTTTTTAATTTTATTGAACGAAAGCAAAAAATGTCGGAAATACCATCAAATTTTAGAATAAGTATAGATTTTGTGAATTGGTCACCTTTTGGCACGAATTATGACCTTCAAACGCCCAGTGAAACCAGAAATAATTCATGTTCTTAACACTTCTACTTACACAATTGATTGACTGCCGAAGAAACAAACTCAAATGGATAGCCTGCAACCAATTGTTTGCTAGTCTCGAACAAACCCTGTGGGGTGGGCAATTTATTGCCCACATCCTTGATAACACCAGTGGTTACATCGGCAGTTGATGTGACGATATTTTTGAAACTTAAATCCAAGCTTTGAACATTTGGCAGACAACAAAGTCCCAATATTGCGCACAACACAAATAATTTCATTTTGAGATTTTTTTTTTTTCAAAAATAATTCAATTTCATTTAATTAAAACCCATAAATATCCACTAAAAATTTGGCAGGAAATAGGCAATGTAAAATTCACAACTTCTAGATTCCGGTTGATCGTCGTGAATGAGAGAGGATACCGCGTCGTCGTATGTTCTACAACTGAAATGTATTCATTGTTCGATACTTGGTTATATACAATGAGAGCTATAGGCAACATACACCCCCTCGCCCCCCGACCGACCACACAATGTGGCAATTCTAAAATAAAATCAGACAAATTATAAAGAAAGAATAGGCAAAACAATAAGAAAGCACTGAATTAATTTGTATGTAAAGACGTGTGTGTATGTGTGTGTGTCCATATTGCTAAGTTTATCCATAGATATCGACTTGATATGCCGGCATGTGGACACCTGAAAACACGTACATACCTAAAATGACAACAAACGGACAAATAAGGTATTAAAATGAGTGTCGTTATTTTGTGATGTAGTTGCTTTTGTGGCAAACATGAGCAGCGTCCATTGTTCACCTGCTGGGAAATATGGAAACGGAACCGATTAAATGTCAACTTAGTTGCCCAAAATGTTGTTCAGTTTATATTTTAAAGTGTTTTTTGTATGCTGTTTAATCGATTGATATTTTTGTAGTTTTTTGTTATTCTTAAAAATGCAATAAATAATTAAAAATGCAATAAAAGCCAGGGGCGTTGTTTTAATATTAGCCAACTATTTCCTTTACCAACAAATATCGGTATAATGTTATATACTGCAAACAGACCTCCGTAAAACTCGCTCGATGTCGACCGGGAGTACTCTTGAAAGTCCGTCCGTCCATGTATTTTTCTGAACAAAATGCAGGTCTCATTTATTACTCAATTGAGATGAAATTTTCCAAGCAATATTTGTTGGCTCAAGGACGAACCGTATTGAAATTGGTGAGAATTGGTTCATATTTAGATATAGCTCCCATATATATATATATATATATATATCTTCAACGCATTTCGTGTTAATTGTGCATCAAATGGCCAATATCAGCCCAAAAGATCTGAATTTTAGCACACCCGATCTAATTCAGTCTAGAAGCAAGTACATCAAATTTGGAAAAAATTGGTTCACAAATAGCTAAGCTCCCACATATAAAGGGTGAGATGAAAAAATTGCAACCAAATTCAGACAGTTGTCATTTCTAAGCCACTTGTCCGACAGCTGTTAAAATTATTCCAGTGACATCTCATTATATTGTTTACAAGCGCACAAAAGCATTTTGGTGAGAATTTTCCACAAAAAAAGACAGATCTTGGATATTCAAACCGGACTCATCAATATCGCACTCAGCACGCGCCACCACAGAATGGTCACAAAATGAGGTTCCTCGCTTTATTTCCAACGCACAATGGCCACCAAAATCTCCGGATACCAATCCGTTGGACCATTGTGTCTGGAGTATTTTGGAAAGCAAGGTTGGCACTAAAAAAATACCGAAGCGTGGATCACCTTAAGCAAGCGCTTCGCCGGGAATGAGCCAAAATACCGCAGAGAAACATTCAGACAGCGTGTGACGGTTTCATTGGCCGTTTGAAGACCATAATTCGTGCCAAAGGTGACCAATTCGAACAAATCTAAACTCATTCTAAAATTTTATGCTATTCCGAAATTTTTTGCTTTCATTCAAAAAAATTTAAAAACAAGTAAGAAAAGGCTATAGTCGTGCGTGGCCGACCATGTTATACCCTACAACACTACAATATGTTAGAAGCCCCCTTATGTCCAAATCCATATTGGAAGATTTCACTTTTGAAATTAGGATTTTGACTAGGGACATTTGCCCAACATTTATGCACTCCATCGGGCTTAAGTTGTTGCAGTCCATTTTACAGCTTAATATAATCCAATGGTCATCCAAAATGCTAGAATTCTTCCCTGTCCTTAACTCTCTTCACAGACGTGTCGACGTGTCTGTATCTCCAAATTTAGACTTATTTATATGATTTGCTTGTCTACTATATTTGGCTATATTCGTCAACGAAATCAGCATAAAAAGCCAGAAATTCGCCTTTTGTGTATTTCGGATGTCGCCTGTAAGTAATGCTGGTGATGGTCCATTGTACCCGTTGTCCTAAACTCTAACTTTTGCTAGATTTCGTTTCCTTTGGTTTCTATTTGTGAGCTTTATAACGGCCGCAAAATCAGGAAAATTTTTAGTTGTTGGTCCATTTTAACTACCTAATATATTGCGGACATCTTTTAAAACAATAGGCCTAGCCCTTCTGAGCCCAACCCTACCCTTGTGAAAATTTTCGTGAGGATCGGACGATATTTGCAATACTTATATAATATCCCCAACCTGTGTTGTAAGGTGAAAAAATATTACAAAATATTATAAGTCAAATTGAAAAATCGCATGCGATAAAAAATATGAAAAAATAAAAAAATGTCACAAAATACTACAAAATCTATATTGACATCTTTATTGGCACATTTTTCTGCGATTTTTTTAGATTTTATACTTTTATGTCAAGAGGGCATTATCAATTGACAAAATTTGTCAAAATCGGTCCAGCCATTCTTGAGATATAATCATTCTAACTAACATCCCCTTCCTTTGTATATACACATTGTATATATTTCGCTATATATAACCGATATATTTACTATCGGCATCTATGTAACGATCAGAATTGACCTGTTCGGTTATTTGTGATTTCGCCGGAATTATAAATATTCGCGGTTTGATGGACAATTTGACTTTTATTTAACACAAATGTTGTGGCCTATTTCACCCACTAAATATTGACCGATGACCATCAAAATTGGAAGGCCAGCCCTAAGCTCTAGCCCCATGCTAACTTCCGCTTTGATTGGTCTATAATTGCGACCTGTAGAGCAACTGCAAAATCAGGATTTTTTTTCAGTTTTTGGTCCATTTTAACCCCTACATATTATGCGATCATCTCCAAAAGAAATAGGGTTCTATTCTGACCCTATCCCCACCTACATTCTATACATACATCGGGCAACTCCTTGGTACCTCCCCCACAAAGGATGAACCTTTAAAAAATCATATATCTTTTAAAATTTGAAATAAGCAATACATTGTCTTCGAATTTCGAATGTACCACATTGGAATAACCATGACTCTCATAAAACTCGAAATAAGCATCCGACTCTTTACAAACTTGGCACAACCTAATTGTTCTACCAACACAAGATCTAGTGGGAAGATGCGATATATCGGCCAGCTCTTCCTGGTACCACGATTTTTTTTCCAAAAACATGCAACTTCTTAAAAAGCATTGGTATTTGAAGAAGCATATATTCCTACTACTTCGAGCATCTAATTCGGAAAGAACAGAAATTTCACATTCAATTTTTTTCATGCATATGGAATATTTAATGTTATATAGTCCTGCTAAAGTTTTATTTTGGTTTTTGACCGATATCACGAGGTCATGGAAATCTTCGTAACATTTGCTCAAAACAATATTTGAAAATATTGATTTCTCTATTTTATTTGCTGTATCTCCGATAATTGGTCATATCCATCAACGAAATGAACATCAATGTAATTTTGGCACCATTTTTTAATTGTTTTTTTTTTTTTTTTTGGTTTTTCTAATAGCATGACTAAATGTGTGCTTTTTTACAAAATAAATTCCAAAAAAAATATTTATTCTTCCAGGGTCATTATATATTTCGAATTAACGATCGAATTGTTTAATTAATATGCACATATTTTCAAATATATGATATTCAAAATTCAATTGTATGGTGTAAAATGAAGTCAATTCATTGCAAGCATTAATGCAAAAATAAGTGAATTTATGCAACAAAATTGTACGAGGACGATGGCCTTTTATGAGAATATTTTATATATCCCTCCCATAAAAATAGCTGATGTACGACTCTGTTCTGTAAATGATTAATTTGATTTCATACCCAACAATATTGATTGCAATGTTTACATTTTATATCACGTCCACATCGTTTTATTATGGGAAACAAGCGGTGAATTTTAATTGATCCAATTCTAAATCGAAAAAAAACGCGGCAGTAATAGCCGAGACATATAAGGGCGGTTTAACTTCTCACTTCCCATAGTGATTCTCCAGCGTTCAATATATGTGTGTACGTATATGTTACTTTACATTTCAGCTGTTAATTTAATTTTTAAAATTATATTATAGATCATTGATTGATAGGTGTAAATGTTCGGCTACTGTTGACCGACTACTGGTCAGACAACGACTAAGACAATAACAAATTTACACAAAGAATCATTAGGTACATGAGTCTGTTAAAAATAGGTTCATTTGTATTCGCGGTTAGTAGATCGTGTGCATCCAGACATTGATGACTCACTCGACGCCTAGTGATGATCGTTTTGATCAAAAATAAATGCATACAAGTAATACGAAAAATTAACATTCTGCAGGAATATGGGGTGTGGCAAGCCGCCCTTATGAATTCATTTTACTTTTAGTTAATTACTAAAAGATGATAAGTCAATATTATGATTTTCTAATGAATTGCCTACAATAAATATATATTGGCATTAATGAAACCAAATAAAGAGCACGGACGATATCCCAGCAAACATATTAATGTGAAATATTTGGCTATTGTATTGAGATATTTGGCTTCTAAAGTCTGCCAAGAATATATCGTGTCAGAGGAGGAAGTCCTACTGAACTGTGGACATTTGAAAAGTTTTAAATCTTTGAAATCTACGAAGATCTCGTATTTTATAAACATTAAGCGTCTCAGATAGTGTTCTATTAATGCTGCAACAAATTTCTACCAGCGATTTCCATTTTGAGGCGACTCTTGAGTTTCAGCTCGCAATTTTCTGTCTTTAACATAATCTGTTATAAGGAATCTTAAATGGTCAAAAAATGGGAAGAAAAATTAATAAAATATGCTGTGATACTTCAAGAGAAGAAAAACTAACCGCACAGTGATTTGGAATTCGCTGGGTCTACAGAAAACTGTTGTCATATTGGAATATAATTCCTATACGGGGTGAAATAAAAGCACTGCAATAAAGTCAAACGCCTTAATTGTATACCCTCCACCATAGTATGGAGGGTATATTAAGTTTGTCATTCCGTTTGTAACACCTCAAAATATACATTTTAGACCCCACAAAATATATATATATTCTTGATCAGC